TAGTGGCGAAGGCACAGCTGCAGGATCTGAGTAGTAAAAGCGAGGGTTTTCATCATCATTCGGGCAAGAAATTGACCAAATCGAGAAGTATTTAAAATTTTCTCAATACGCTTACGAGCTTTTGTCTTTGCAAGTTTGCAAATAGGTTTGCAAGTAAATTTGCTTAATGGATTTTATTTTAAATTTTTGGTTTGAATTCAATTTCACTAGCAATAAATAATTTCAACTAAGAAACAAAATATTTCTTCCTTTGTTTTATTTGTAAAGAGTTTTCTATTAAATGGGGTTGTGGGTTTATTTTAACTAAATAATATAAAAAAAAACCAAACAAAATAGAAAAAAGAAAAAATAAAAAATAAAATATATTTTAACTAAACGCCAAATCCGTAAACTATAAATCTGCACTTAAGTCCATTTCCTTAGTTGTCGATTGGTTTCCGTTGCTGTTCGTAGTTTAAACTTTGTTTCAAAGCAAACTAAATAAGTTCAGTGTGTCAGTGAATTTGCTTCGTAGTCCATAGACCATGTACTGGTCATTCTAGCTTATACTCGTGTATACGTACATATACACGTACTTATAAAAAATTATATTAAAAATGTTCATATGTATTTATATAAGTATGTATATATGAATCCATTCATTCGAACTACAGAGTATATACAGAACTAAGTGATTATGGATCAATTTAGCAATGCGGTGTAGAAATACTATAATTCTACAGTAGAATCGCCAACAAAACTATTTATTTACTTGCATAAAAGTGAAATTATATTTTTTTTTATTATTCGCTTATGTATCGGACTATTGAACAAATTATATGACATGACCGACAACTGGAGTAAAATAAAGTTCTTGTTTCTTGAACTTTTCAACAATAATTTGTGTGGTAAAATATTTACTACTTAAAAATAATCATTCGATTTTATTACTAATATAAAGAACACTTTTTTTTAATCATCTTAATAAAGCCATATATATGTATATGTTGTTATCCCCTTTGTGGTCTTGATTGGACAGCACTATTTCATTTGACATCACATATTTAGTTTGTGGTTTGCTATTTTATGGTATAGATCGTTTAACAGCCGCTTAACATGTTGTGAAATTCGTAAATTAAAAGGACCGCTCAATTGGCAAAACTATTAAACAGCTGGAAGGAACTGAATTATAACAAATTTACTTAAACCTAGACCTCATTGAAACGCACGATTTGCTGAAAATATTGCCGCTGATAATGAAAGTTTATTTGGAATGTCATATACATTGTATTATATACACATAGTTTTTTATAGTATATTTACACATAGTTCCAACACTTGGATTTGCATGTTTATTTTTATAAAATTTAGACAAGACTAGAACTGAAGCTAACCACGTAGAAGACACACTAATTGGTCTAGCAACTGATTTTTTGAATCAAATTTGTTCTCAGTGATTGGGTTAAACAAAATTATCGCATCTGGGTAGTGAAAACCTAGAACAATCATGAATTATTGTTGAAGAACCATTTCAATAAAAAGTCATTATATAGCGGGTTTTTGTCTGGATGTGTTATAAGGATGTACTTTTTTAACAATAACGAAGATCAGATGCAGACCGTCAACTCTGATTGATATAATTTTTTTTTATTGAAATTGAACATATAGGTGTATGAATATAGAAAATATGTGGTTCCAATAGAATCCGTACAGATCAGAGCACAGCAACGAGTCGTAATTTTAACATTCATAATACACTAACAAAAAAACCAAAACCTATATGCATTCACAGAAGTGATTCATAAGTGTTCTCGTTAACGAATGCCGGTGCTAGTGTATCAGCTTCACAAGAATGCATAAATCACAAATGATTCATGAATCATAGCATATACTCAGCTGAATATGAATATACTCTAGTGAGTATGAATATACTAATTGAAAATGAATAACTCGAATGACTTGTAGCATTCGTGAAGATTTTACATGTGCGCTGTTGTTTGCTAAGCAAAAAATTTACCGAGTGCTTAGTTCTATACTTTTGGTGTGTGTTGTTGTTGTTAGCATTGCAAATGCATGCATTTTGTTTGTGTAATGAATGAAAAATAATAATTACATAAAAAAATTTGTTGGCTTTTTTTGTAAGTTTTTTTATTCGTAAGTAGTATTTATTGTATTTACATGTTCTTAAGTACTTTTAAGTTTTTTTTGAATACAAAGTATCGATATCATACAGATACGATATTTCTTCTGGATAGAGAAACTGACTTAGTATAGGTATATAAAATAAAATGTAGAACCAAAATGACTAATTACTATTGATCTGACTCTGTTTTGAATTTAATCGTTTAGATTACACAAAATTTTATTTAATATATTTAACAAAAGAAACAAAAGGTTGCTATTGTGGATGCTGATCAATTTGAGATTCTTTCTCTAATTTGTGGTGATAGTGCAAGTTTTTACAAAATCTTTAATTTTTATCACAAAAACAAGATACTTTCTAAATACTACATGTCTTAACTTTTTTATTAAAAAGATTTCACTATTATTAAAAAGATCTATCTGCACTTAATAAGTACGTTTCTGTATATACCTATTAAAAATATATATATATATATATATATACATAGATGGGGTGTGTGTCAATGTACTCCATATTTTGCTTAATCAAAATAGTTTCTCATTTTTTCTAATTTATTTAATTTTTTTTTTGTGAAACGAAAAAAATTTTTTTGACGATGTAATTATAGTATAGAAAAGCTTTTCTGTTAATAAATGCAAAATCGATGATTAATTCAATATAATTTTATAAAGCCTTTATCTCAACGAAAAATATATAATGTACGGTTGTAAGCCACTTTACCCAAAATCATTGCTTTCTAATAATTTATTTAATTAATTTCATTTTTAAGTAGTTTAATTTTTAAATAATTTGAAGTGGTTAGCAAACAAGTTTTTTATCTCTGCACAAATAGTAGACTGAATAAATAAGCCAACGGGCTTTGTATGCGATATCGATTGTTCTAATAAGAACTGGAAACCTTGTATTTGTTTTTATAGTTGTTATTCACTTTTGAAGTGTTTTTTAATTATTTGATTTTAAATGAGAATTTTAATATATGAACAATAAGTACATAATTTAATTTAAATAATACTTTTAATAATAATTTTAAATAAATTTCAAAAAAAATGCAAATAAATTGATTGTTCGCAATGATTCTGGAAATGGGGATATCGGTTCCTTTTGCTCCGGTCAGTCATTCACCAAAAAGAAATTTATAAATTACGCGCAAGATGACTTGGACATAAGTATGTTAAGTAGTCTCAACATTGTGTAAACTTAATGTATGGATCGCTTTTTAGGCCGTATGGTAAGGGTTGATGAAAATTGAATGACATATGATCACATTATTTGAAAACATAAATAGAAAATGAGAAAATGAATGAAAACAGTGAAAACATCTGCAGCTGATCGAAGTATCTAGTACGTACGGTGCGAATTTGAAGTACTGTAATCCTTTAATTAACTTGTCTCAATCTCAGAAGCTGATAATAATATGGTTGATGAAATACATGAGTGTCTGCTTAAGTGCAACCAAACGTACTATATTGTTATAAGGCTGTTTAAATCCGCGAATCTTACCACAACATTCAAGCTACTGCTCTATTAGACAATAGTCCCGTCAGTATTCATGTATGAATCTGAAACGTTTATGCTTAGAAGAAGCAATCTGAGTTCGATAAAGAGGTTTTACGGCGAATTATTGCACCCATATGTGAGAAAGAGCCATTCTCTAAATGTTACGACGATAATAATATAAAGCTCTGCAGACTTAAGTGCGTGAGTCATAAAGAATGCGTATGCGTTAAGAGACGTCTGCTGAAATAATTATTTGTAGTGAACTTAATATGATAAGTGTAAATGATAAATGGTTATGCTATTTTTAATTAAATGACCAAGAGAAACATATAGCTACAATTAACCAAGATGAAGTCCTTAGTGATCAAGCTTGACTGATCCAAAGAAAACGTTCGAATCAAAAGCCAATTTTTAAGCTAAAAATGAAACTAAAAGACATAGAAATGTTAGAAAAGCGTTAGAATGAAAGTAGAATAATATTAGAAGTACAAAGTTACAATGAGATAGGTAAATAGATACTTACAAATAATTTTGAGGGTTTCCTTTAGAAACCCTGAGCAGAAACCTAAATATAAATATAGTTACAACATGCATACACTAACATAGTTAGTTTTATCAGATCCAATAATGCTTATTGCTGTAAATAGAAAACGATTATTAATGTGATATGAGAACCATCAACGATTTTTTATTTCTCTCACTAAAATATGTTATAAAAGATGAAGACGATATTAGTCATTTATATTTAAATAAAATATATAATTAACACACATAAAGACACATTATGTTTAAATGACATCTTTATTAAAGAACTTGCAAATATTTGTTGGACTTTCTGCTCATTAAAAGATAGTTTTCATACACAAAATGTTTTTCCAAAAATTTTTTTTTGCACAATAAGCATTTGATTTATCATATATGTTTATAAAATTTTGAACTTCAACTAATTTAGTACAATTTGGTATCAGACAGACAGTTTGTCTCTATTTTAAACAAGCTAAGGTGGGTTCTAAGAAGACTAATACATATCACAGTATATTCGAGCATTTGTTTATTTAGCATAATCGAACTTTTAGATAACTTAAGCTAAAATGATTCATTTACTTTCATTTTCAGGTGTTTCTTAATTACTTACATGCCGTGACATTGGATTTTCGTGAAGGGGGTTTCGTTTTTCTGGAACAAATCAATCAAGAGAGCACGAGTTTTATTTTCAATCTTAAACTTAAACATAAAGCATTCGATAACACTTTTTGTATTCGATAACGCTTACCAAACGTAAGATAAGACTAAGATTACAAGTTTCTATTGTTCAGATAAGCATTAAATTAGTAAAATTATTTCTAATAAATATAAGTTGGACAAATTAAACGTTTACGCTCTGTCGTCGAGACAAGTTCTTGTTTTTAGTACGTTATTTTGGGTTGAAACTGAATACAAAAAAATTGATACACGATCAGACCTAATATTGTGCAAGTGTTTTACTAAAGGTTGGCATCAATTAATACATGTGTCAGAGAGACATAATTAATACATGCACTATATACCATATATATACTAGTTCATATATACAGAAAACATGCTTATAAAGCAATTTTTAATATGTGAAATATTAATACTGAATGTTTATATTACTTATAAAACTCACTATCACTTAAAGGACTTGAAAAGATTTTATTACTGAAATCTTTTGATGTGACAAAATTACATTACATTGAATAAAAGTGACTGCCAGTTATTATAATATATAGTTAAAATAACAATCTCGCTGTGTTCTCGTAAAAATAGAACTAGATATAATACTTAAACTAATTCATCGAAATAATTTAAAATTTTGCTATTAATTACTGCACTCGAATTTAATATAAATTTAATCGCATAAATATCGCACCTAGCGATGTTTGTATAAATGTAGTCTGTTCTTTCACGGTAGATCGTTGGGTACAAGATAAGCAGTGTTAACCGATAATTATATGGCAATAAGCTAGTTAAAACGGATTTTTAACGCAAATAAAATTAATTGGAATATAAATTAATGCAATAAATAACAAAAAGAAGGAATTTCAAGAATTTAAAAAAGATTTTCTTTGATATGATAAGATTCATAACTTATATTAACTTATATTATCATAACTGATATTAAGTTCACCAACATATTTGTAATCTAACAAAGATGTTAAATTTATTATAAAGTACATATATATAAATACACAGTGTGTGCGTGTGTGTGTCTGTATATGTATATATTATATAAATGTATAGGCATACTATGGTATCTCTTCCGTGAGACTCCTATACTGGGTCAGAGACAACCCTATATATATTTTTTTTTTCGTTGTGTTAATAGATATTATAACAAAAAAAAGACATTAATAGAACAATCAAGATGCAATCAGGAAAAATTGTAGAAAAATAGTTGGCAGAAATAACATTTCATTTTTATAAATTTGACAAAAAATTTTTATATATTTAATTAGATACTTTTGCTCAAGAACTCATTGTTAAAGGTGAGCTTCTTTTTTGTATATGACATATATTCCAGATATTTTATAACACCCTTCCATATATATTATTTTAAAATATAAGAAGCTAGAAAGTAACACTTTTATTATACAATATCCATTTATTTTCTTTAAATAAAACGTCTTAAAATAACATATATAGTCTGAAAGGTTTATATACAAAAATTAATCACTAAAATATATACAATGCATGTTAAACTAGCAACAAAACCTCCATAAAATATATTCACAGATAGTATTAGTATATATATTTTCTGAAAATAATGTAGTAAAATTAGTGATCATGACAATGATCATAAGTTTACATGATGAACTATCCATTGACATCGTTAAAGATATTGTAGCAGGGTCACAAAAAAAATTTTTTTTTTTTTAACAATATACCTTTATTGAATCGCTTTAAATTAAAGCCTAACAATAAGTTTTAGAATCTTACAGACTTATAACATTACATTACAAACTATTTTATATGAACATATGTAATGAAATATATAATGATTTGTAAATTATTTCAGGGGAAATTTTTAAAAAAAATATAAAAAAAAAATTGAAGTTGTAATCTACGAGTATAACGTGAAAAATCATTAAAAGAGTGAAATACACTGATTGATTGTCATAAAATATTTTCAATGTTAATAAAAGATAACAAGAACATAGGGAATAAATATTATCTACTCTCAGATATTGAGAGAACAAAATCATTTCGTAATTATTTTTTGAATACTGTCAGACTTAACAATTATTAATTGTTTTACTATCCTTCAGTTTATCATATAGTAAAAAAGTAAAGAAGTAAAGTACTTATTGCTTCTAATTCTCATATTAATCACTCACCATTAATCACTCTCAAACAATAACCGATTCGTAATTTACGTAAGTGGGTTGGCGAAATTATTTCATTACAACTTCGATTACAAAATACATAAATAATAATCAGAGTTTTTATAAGCGAAACAAATACAAAAATCTGGCGGCACTTCAGTTTGCCACTGATAGATTACCATAACGTAATGCCATACACCCCACTCCACACACATAATCGAATTTTATCAGACTGCCGTTAGCCCTCGATTAGACCATCGCTCACACATGCGAGTCATTAGGGAAAGCAAACAAACTCGACCTTATCGCTGCAGTTGATTTTTATATGATTTCAGATAATCACGTTAAGCAGACGTATCCGTGCTTACGTGTGTAGCGAGCGATAATTACTTTAAAATAATTCAATAAATTATTATTAAATTAATTGACAAACAAAAAAATTAAACGTAAACAATACATAATTGATGTGCAGCATGACGTTTTGCTTAAGTTATGCATGTGTGAACTGATTTGTTTAAAATTATTTACTAAATGTGCGATTATCTCAACAGGTTGACAAGAACCAGATATCGTCGACAATATGGGTGATCTTTTTCGCAGCGAAGAGATGGCCTTGTGCCAAATGTTTTTGCAACCGGAAGCAGCGTATGCCACAATTGCGGAATTGGGCGAGAGGGGCTGTGTACAATTTCGTGACGTAAGTGAACGCATTAAACATATTTTATTTTACAATTAAACAATACTTTAATATTATATTATTTTTATTATGTAAATATTTATTATTTTATGACCAAACTATTTTAATAAAGTGTTTTCGCAGACTAATTGCTCAGAAAACTCTCCTGCTGATGACTTTAGACTAAAGTCGAAATATCGATGAATTAAAATTTATTGTAAAATAAATCGTGTTTTTTCTGTTAACTTTTATTTTTTAGCAACAAAAAAAATTTGACTAATTAGCATACAAAAACACTTTATGTTTATAATATTTAATTTTATAATAATTTTTTATTTTATTTTTATTATTTTCCTTTTCCTTTCAATTTTAATTTATTTTTTTCTGCCTCAATTAATTTTATTTTGTTTTATTTATATTTTGTTTTTTATTTTTATTTATTTTCTTTTATATTTTGATATTGACTTTTATTATTTTGTATTTTCATTTAAGTTATTTTATTTTATTTTTATATCAATTATTTCATATTACTTTATGTCATTTTACTATTATATTTTTATTTTCACCTTTTTTTAATTTAATTTATTACACTTTTATTGTCAATTTAGTTTCAAAGTTTTTATTTTATTTCTATTTTCCATATTATAGTTTTCATTTATGTTATTATTCTATTTTGTTTTATATTATCTTAACTTTTATATCTATTTGATTTTGTTTTAAATAATTTTTATTTTGTTTTAATTAATTTTTATAATTATGTTTTTCATGTCATTGCCTTCTATATATACATATACATTTTTATTATATTATTTTATTTTTTATTTTTCATGGTATTTTATTTTATTTTCTTTCAGTGTATTTTGTTTTATTCTATTTTTTCATTGTATTTTGTTGTTTTTTTTTTATTTTATTTTCTGCCATTCTATTTTGTTTCATTTTATTTTATTTTTTCTTTTATTTTATTTCATTGTCTTTCATTGTGTTTTGTTTTATTTTATCTTATTTTATTTGATTTTATTTTTGTCATTATATTTTGTTTCATTTTTTATTTTATTTTGTTTCATTTTATATTATATTGTTTTACATATTTTTTGTTAATTTTATTTTATTTAAATATGTTTTCTTTTATTGTATTTTGTGTTATTATTATTTTTTTTGTTTTTATTTAATTTTGTTTCATTTATTTTATTATACTTTACTTTCTTTCATTGTATATTTTTTCTTATTGTTTTATTTATTTTTTGTTTCTTTTATTTTCTTTCATTTAATTTTGTTTCATTTTTTGTTATTTTTTCTTATTGGAGATTAATACACCGTAGCTTTATAGCTAAATGTTATTTATCAAGGATACATTAAGCAATGGATAATGGTTTATTGGAACACAATCCAAATTTGGCGTCTATATACTGATGTTATATTTAGTATTTTGCTTACCTTTCTCATTAATAAAATAATCCATACATTACATTATTTGACCATTATCATAGCACTTTAAATTAATTCCTGCAGGTGTACTATATTGTGTTTCAGCAAGTTCGTTATCTAGCTTTTAGAAGTAATTCACTCACTAATAAATAATGCTTGGTTTACAGTGGCGATGTATCTCTATATTCTATCAAATAACTTACATATACTTCAATAAATGGACACATGTTCCAAATTTTCACACCTAAATGATAAGTAGTAGCGCTATAATTTATATTTATTCATATCATTTGTTCAATTTAAGTGCTATCTGAGAATTGATACATTTCCTAAGAAATTTGTCGGTTTTACTTTTTATTGCCCCAATGGATCTTCTTTGCCGAAGAGTCAACAGCGGCAGCTCCAACCTCTGACAACACTTGAGAATATAGTCTCACACTATTTCGTGTATTTTAGGTATAGCCCTCCTAATAGCACTTCCTTTTTGACACGAAACTATATAGTTTATGCCAATTGTCAAGTAAAAAACATTCCATTGATTTTGTTAATTAGGTATTATAATCTGTTTAACTACAATCTGTATGTTCAAATATTTTCTCTGTAGTTAGATGTTAAGCAAGGGTATTACGCCGAACACACGATCCACGAAGTCTTCACGGATCACGGAGATTGTCATTTTTACTGTGTGGCTATTATTTTGTATTTTATTTTATATTCCTGATATAGTTTAATTTACATTTTATTTTTGTTTATTTAAAAAATTTGAATTTTGTTTTATTTTAATTTATGTATATATATTTTTTTTACATTATTATAAATTTTTCATAATTAACAAACATTTATTTGATAATTTCTTCAGCATTAATATACTTTATATTTTAAAAAACTGTTGCTAGAAACATCTTTAAAATATATTTAATCTGTATATAAATAATAATAATGTGTATAATTATAAAATTAAAATTAATATATTTTATTATTTTTTCTCTCAGTTAAATACGCAAGTCAATGCGTTTCAACGAAAATTCGTTACCGAGGTTAGACGGTGTGATGAACTGGAACGACGCATTACCTACATTGAGCACGAGCTAAAAAAAGACGAAATAACCTTGCCGTTATTAATGGATGAAGAGCCAAATGCACCGAATCCACGCGAAATAATTGATTTTGAAGCGCAACTGGAGTCCATTGAGAACGAATTACGTGAACTTTCGCAAAACGAAGTTAATCTTAACTCGAACTTCATGGGCATGACTGAGTTGGAGCAAGTTTTAGAAAATACTGCTGGTTTCTTTTCAGATCAGGAGGTTCTCAATTTGGATACTAGTCGCTTTGTTGCCACTGATGCTGATCCATCGCTAGCGCAGCAGCGCGGTCAATTAGGTTTTGTTGCCGGTGTAATTAAGCTGGAGCGATTTTTCGCTTTTGAACGTATGTTGTGGCGCATATGTCGTGGTAACATATTTGTTAAACGCAGCGACTTAAGCAGCATGAGCAAGGATCCAGAAACTGGTCACATGATTTTAAAAACTGTTTTTGTTGCATTCTTTCAAGGAGAGCAATTAAAATCACGTATTAAGAAGGTCTGCTCCGGATTTCACGCATCGGTATACCCTTGTCCAAGTGCACATGCTGAACGAGCGGATATGATTAGAGATGTGCGTGTACGATTGGAAGATCTAAAATTAGTTTTAAATCAAACCGCAGATCATCGTAATCGTGTTTTAGTTGCAGCTTCAAAGAAGTTACCAGTCTGGTCTATAATGGTCAAGAAAATGAAAGCTATCTATCATACACTAAATCTATTTAATATGGATGTGAGTAGCAAGTGTTTGATTGGTGAGGCTTGGGTGCCGTCGCGTGACTTGCCCATAGTTCAGAACTCCTTGTCTAAGGGCTCTGCTTCAGTTGATAGTTCAATACCATCATTTTTGAACGTTATTGAGACATCGGAAAATCCGCCAACATATACACGTACAAATAAATTCACAAGCGGATTTCAGAACTTGATTGACTCATATGGTGTTGCATCATATCGTGAAGCTAACCCTGCATTGTACACGTGCATCACCTTTCCATTTTTATTTGCTGTTATGTTCGGGGACTTGGGTCATGGATTGATATTAGTTGCCGTTGGTGGTTTTATGTGCATAGCTGAAAAGAAATTAAGCAAAATCAAAGAAGAAATTTTTAATTTATTCTTTGGTGGCCGTTACATTATACTTCTGATGGGACTGTTCTCAATATATACTGGTTTCATATATAATGATGTTTTTTCAAAATCCATGAACATTTTCGGTTCGTCATGGTATGTACGCTATAACACTTCTACAGTACTTACAAATCCTGGTGGCTTGCAAATGGATCCACGTTATCACGTTAACGGCACATATGTAATGGGTATGGATCCAATTTGGCAGTTAGCAGATAATAAGATTATATTTCTTAACAGCTATAAAATGAAATTGTCTATCATTTTTGGAGTAGTGCATATGGTTTTCGGTATATGCATGTCGTTGATTAATTTCAGTTATTTCAAACAACCCATGAACATGCTTCTTCAATTTTTGCCACAAGTACTCTTTCTCTTACTACTTTTCGGCTATATGGTATTCATGATGTTCTTTAAATGGGCAAAATATTCCGGTGATGCCACCGATGTGGCCCTCGGACCTGGCTGTGCTCCATCTATTTTGATACTTTTTATTAATATGGTATTATTTGGTAGTCAAGAGCCATTGAAGGGATGTAAGGAATACTTGTTTGATGGTCAAAAGGAATTACAAACAATTTTCGTGATAGTCGCTGTAGTTTGTATACCCTGGATGCTTTTGGGAAAACCATTCTACATTATGTGTACCAGAAAAAATAAACCTGTAAGTATAAATTTAATAATAAAAATAAATTATTTAATTGTTTTTATATGTGATATATGTGATTGAAGAGCAAAGAACTCAGTCATGAAAATGGCGCTGTAGAAAATGGGAAACCTTCGTCAGCACCACCAGCTGGTGGACATGGCCATGGTGACGATGAGCCCATGAGTGAAGTTTTTATACAACAAGCCATACATACTATCGAATACGTACTGAGTACGATCTCGCATACGGCCTCATATTTGCGATTGTGGGCTTTGTCACTAGCACACGCACGTAAGTATACTTTTTTCTAAAAAAATAAATATTTTTTTATTAATGTATTGTGTTGCAGAGCTTTCTGAGGTGTTATGGACTATGGTGCTTAGTGCGAGCTTCGGAATGCCAAATTACGCTGGAAGCATCTTGATATATGTGATTTTTGGAGCTTGGTCAGGTTTAACTGTGGGCATCTTAGTACTTATCGAAGGTTTATCTGCATTTTTGCATACCCTACGTTTGCATTGGTAAGCTCAAATGTTGGAAGAGATTCTTCTTACTTTAATCTATTTAACATTTTATACATTGCAGGGTCGAATTTATGAGCAAATTTTATATAGGCGAAGGTTATGCTTTCATGCCTTTCAGTTTTCGTACAATTTTAGACTCAGAAAATGCAGAATAATTATGTTACATATAATAATACAAATTATAATTAATGATAACTAATATTGTGTCGTTTTATTTCAATTTAATTGAAAACAAATATAAAATAACAAATTTTTAATGATTAAATAATTTCATATAAACAAATCATTTGTCAAAAAGAACCAACGTTTTTGAGATAAAATATCTTTATCTATACTTGTCGAGATAATATGAACTAGACATTTTTAGAAAACATATTGTTTGTTAAAGTATGAACAAAATTACTAATATGTTTTCTTCTTAAAATACATTGTATATAGATTTTTAACAAAAATATTCGTAGATAGAGAATAACACTCATTACTGTGATAAATAATACAGAAGTAGGGAGAGAAAAAAAATTTGTTGAACTGTAAAAAAACTTTACAGAATAGTTTTAAAATATAAGATATACTAAGATATATGCCATTATCAGGGGTTAGTGAATTTAAATGTACATTAACTACTTTATTTAACTACTTTATATATAGAAAGAAAAACTCATCAGTCATAAGATTAAAAGAACTGATTGGATTCAGGTAGAACAGCTTAATGTGTATGCCAAAGTACTTGTATAGCCATTTTTATTAACTTGAAAGTACTACATACATATTTACCACAAAAATATAAAACAAGATGAAAGCTGTTGCAGTTAGAACTTACCTAGTATTATTTATAGATATCATATTCTTATTATTATTATTATAAAAAAACAAGATCAGAAATTTTGACTGCAGCAGCAAAGTTATATATCTTGCTCTGAGACTAGCAACCGATCCACGAAAAACGCACACGTTAAAGAAAAAAATCCAAATGCACCAATATGTTACGGATGCTACCAGTTAAAGGCTAATATAAAACCTATAAAGATAGTTCGTATACTAAGCAGCTAAATTGGCTATTTCTCACAAATCTCACTGTTTTAATTGCAACCAGCCACACAAGAAAAAAACTATATTCAATTTTCTCTATTTATGTCCTACTTTTTGAAATCCTAGACTATTAAACTATTCTATAATAATCTCGTAGAGTTAATGAAACTAACATTTTTTTTTTGTTTGCGGCAAGGAGGAGTGGAATGCCTACGCGCTGCCCCCTCATTCCTAGAGACCTTGTTCTACCCCGGGACTACGTTAGTATTACTTCGAGATAGAGTCCCTATTAGTCATTTAAGACTTCCATTGGTGTGACCTGCGTCCAGCCCCCGCTACTGTTGCAGATAATTAATCTTGCCCTATAGTCTACTTTTTTCTATCTCAGAATATGTGATTCGGCTCTCACTCTTGATCCGAATCGGAATGTCGTCAGATTGCTCTTCGTTGTAGAATGAAACTAACATTACGATCAGCAAACTTTTTAAAACTGCAAATCAAACTGTCTATAAAAAACCGATTAAACAGTTGACAACGAGTATGTCTCAACGAAAGGGTGTCAAAGCATCAATAGAACCTATGGATTGAGTCAGGCTTGAATCAACTAATCAACGCATACTAATACACGAATTAAATGCTTTATTCCACACAAATATCAAAGTCTTGTCTTATTTGAAGTGAGACATAGCAGGTTGATATATAATATAGAATGAGCTGTGTTCATTGACACTAAGTCGTATAAATTATTCATATTAGTTTTAAGAATTATTGAAAAATATTTTTATTACAAACTTTGATAAAAAAAAACACATGACGAAAAACAATTAATATTTTTATTTAATTAGGAAAACTATAAAAAAAATCACCTGGGCATTGAGTAGTTTCTAAGCATGTGATGGAAACCTTTCGCATGAGCTCACACGATCATGAAATATTTATAAATATTTATATACATTGTTTATTTTAAAAACATATGTCAAAACTAAAAATTAATTACAAATTTTTTGTCAAGTTTCAAAAAAACCAAAACTGCATATTTAAGATAATTTTTGCTTAACATTTTTCGATGTCGCAAAAGGCATGTGAGGTCGTCACGCCAGATAGCCAGATACGCCCGAAATGTTAACGAATTTATGGTATAGATAAGATTAAACGTTTACATTATTAAGTGTCATAAGTAACAAAGCACGTATAATAAATTTATCTCACATTATAATATGTATAGTTTTTCAAAACAATTTAGTCTTTGGTTAAAATAAATAAGAGCGGAGAAACCGCATATCTTATGTCAGCTCCAACGTCCGATAAGGAAACTAAAAGGCAACATAAGCTATTTGTATAACGTTTGGAATTATTAACCTAAGCACATAATGCAAAATTTATATTGTATCGATATTTAATTGTTTGACTTAAAATTAAATTTTGAGCTTCCATAAACACACGAAAATAAATAATGAAAATTGTGATAAAAAACTATAAATTACACACAATGAAACTTTTAATTTCAATTACTTCTTTGCTTAATAACCTTAAATTATTAATTAATTATCTTTATTGGGCGCGTATTGATAAAGTATCTATATTAAATATCGTTATAATTAATGTGGATCATGTGAAACATTTATTTATTGATGCCATATAAAGATAATATTTCATTGGACTTTTTAACGGATTTTTAATGATATTATTTACGTACTTAGTTTCAATTAAAATTGATTCACCGGCTATGAAAATATAAAAAATATTTTAAATAACTCGGAAATATAAATTTTTTATTGATTGAAAGATAATTAATGAGGGAGGGTAAAACGTGCACATTTCCTTTAATGATAAATGAAATTTTATTACAAATCGATAATATATTAAAAACAAACATTATTACAATTAAGAAGGAAAATAAATAAAATTAAAAGCAAAACTTATTAAAACTAAAAACAGAAATTAATAATATTCAAAAAAAAAATTATTATTATTCAAAATAAAAATGATTAAATTTACTGGAAATAAAAAATAATTCAATTTAAAAAAAAATTTTATTAAAACTTAAACAAAAGACAGTTGCACATAAAATCAAAACAATTAATAATTTTATAAAAAATTTAATTATTAAATGGTCATTAAATTATTAAATAGTCAGCCAACAATTCAGTTAATTAAAAAAAAATAATAAAAAAATGTTTGTTGTTGCAATTTGACTACTGTTTGATAGAAACTTCTCCATTAAAAACAATAATTTATTGTAAGAATTTAGTTTTTTCGTCAAAAACGAACGTTAAAAATCAATTATTGGCTTATTATTATTATTAATATTAAGAGCAAAAATGATTAAAATTATAATTAAAAATCAATTTAATACAAAATTATAAAAGTTGAAAAAATATTATTATTGATGCAAATAATAACATAATAAAAATATTTAAAATTATATAAAATTATATTTAAAAATCAATATAATATAAAATTATGAAGTTAGAAAAAATATTATTATTAATGAAACTAATAATTATTGTTGAATTTTAATATTAAAAACAAAAATAAATAAAACTATTTAAAGTTACAATTAAAAATCAATTTGATATAAAATTATTAAATTTAATATTAATCATTTAATTTAATATTAAATTATTAAAAAAAATATTATTATTGTTGAAAAACATAATTATTTTTAATTATTAACATTAAAAACAAAAATGATTATAAAAATGATTATAATTTATATAATTATAAAAAATTATTTAACTTAAAAACTAAAATCATTAAAATTCAAAGCACTAAAATTAAAATTAACAGTAAGAAATTATAAAAATTAAAGAAATAGAAAAAATTAATGAAAGAAAATGTTTAATGTTTATAAAATATTATTAATATTTATCAAATATTAAAAACAAAAATATTTAAAATTAGAAAAAAAGTTTACTAAACGTGAAAACTGTTGAACTAAAAACAAAAAATTGTGGAAATCAAAAAATGTGATTAAATTAAAAACAAACATTAAAATAACAAAATAATAAATATATAATAATAATAAAAATAAAATTAAAAAGAAAAATCAATAAATTTGAAAAAAAAAAAAAACGCACAATTAACTTCAAATGTGAACTTTTTTGGTAGTTTCGATAGTAGTCCTGTCGAATATGCTCAGTAGATTCCATATTACTCTCCGCTTTACATAATAATTTAGGAACCTACGGTAATTGGTGTAAGTCCATCGTTCTACGTTACTTATGTGATTTGGCTACCATAAGTTGGTGCTTTGGAGTAAAAACATTTTTTAGAAAAATCTGAAAGTGTAAAAATATTTGTAATTAATAAAGTTTTCGTATATATTCGGATAATAAATTCAAATCATTTTAGGTCTACGTTTGTATTATTAAACATGATCAAGCAATATTGCTTGGAAAGACGAAGCCAATATGGATAATATAGTGGTTATGGCCAATATATGCTGGAAATAGATACAATATCTATGATAATTACATTGAAGGTTTGATATGAAATTAAAGATCTTCGAACACAAAATCTGAATACAAAGCCAAACGCAATTCTCCATCAGCTTTTCTTTGTTGATTGCTGAATGATACAAATTAGTCCAATATTATTTGACCATCTTTACCTAAGTTTTAAAGTGTTAAGTTAAATTGTATTTCTACAACCATTAATAATTTTCTTACAAAAAGCAGAACTATGTTTTAAGTTACATCATTTAAATATTAGTTATATTTAAACCAATTTTATGTTTTCATATTTTGACCTATTTTTTTTAGTATGACCTACTTTGGCGAACAAAAAATAGATTTGCGGCCTGTTAAGCGTAATTCGGAAGAACAACTAGCAATGGCTCCACTAATGAATCAGTCAACAAAAAACTAAATGAATGCAAAAAATTTGTATGAATAAATCCTCTTCTAACTGCAACATCGTTCTCCTGCTGTGATAAATGTTAAGATGATTTAATTTACAAGGCCAAACAGCTTAACAGTTGAATGAGGTCATATAAAAACGAAGTTTCTTTGATGAAATTATATTAATATTTATATTTAAGCAGCATTGCTTAGATTTAAAAATAAAAAGTCATTTCACTCAGAAAGTAAATTAAAGACTGAAATAATATATATGCGGTATCGCT